GCGCTGTGGGGGGCGTGAGCCCCCCCCCTAGATCTACTGTTCTTAAAAAAAGGGGGCCTATATGCTGCCCTTAATAAACAATGCTGTTTCTACACTGACCATTCTGGTGTTGTAGTAGACTCCATGTCCAAACTTAGGGAGAGATTAGACAATCGGCGCCAAGACCATGAAGCCTAACAGGGATAGTTCAAAAACTAGTACAATTGTTCTCCTTAGTTCACTACCCTTATGTCCACCCTGCTTGGCCCTTTAATAATACTCCTCCTTATACTAACCTTTAGACCCTGCATTCTTAGTTGCCTTCGTCCGGGAATGGATAAGCACAGTGCAGGTCCTTATGCTTCAACAACAATATCAGGCCCTTCGGCAGATAGACACTTCTGTAGACCCTTGAGTTTTATAATTTAAACTCTTTCCAAAAACAGAAAATGGGAGAATGTAAGAATAAAAATGCACTTAAACTACACTCTGTGACAATTAACTGCTTGCTGTTTCTGCTTCTGTACAAAAGCTTGCACCACGGCTTTAAAAAACAGCCCTGAGCTATGCAAGCCACTGGAGCTTGCTTCACTTCTCGTACCAGCTCAGCTACGTGCAGAAAGTCAGGTTTCTGCAAATTGTGTTATCCCTGCCCTGGAAAGCCAGACATCTGCTAAATGCCCTTGAAGGCCACTCGTGTAAATAAAAAGCCGGCACTGGTATTTGACCTGACCCAGTCGTGACATCTGTGTAAACAAGAAAGCCAGTGAGAAATAATTACCACATTTAGTGGACCGGTATCCCACTCCATCATCCCTCACCCCCCCTTTTCCACCCCTCAAACCTGTGTCTATATAATCTTCATGCTTCTTTTGTTTGGGGCTCCTCTTTCCCCTGAGTCTTGTGACCAGGAGTGGAGTCGTAGGGTGCTAGTAATAAAGCCCTCTTGTATTTTACAGCAAAAACTGACTCTTGTGATTAATTGGGATTGCCGTGACTTTCTTTGGACTGAAGGGTCACCGGCTATTGAAGTGGGGGGGGGGTCTTTCATCTACCCTATTGTTTTCTATCTTTTCTAACTTAACAGACTTTTTTTTTCCTGCTGCACCTTTCTCTTTCTAATTTGTCTCTCCTTCCCTCATGTAGACAAAATATTTGGAGGCATCTCTATCTCTGCATGTGCTGCTTTTTCCTGGACCTAGCATAATTGCTGTGAAACTCCCAGTCACAGTCACCCCTTAAGAGACCCCAGAAGCTAGAAAAGATTGGGACAATCACTTTCTATTCTCTTATTTTCTATATCTTCTAGCTTTTAGAAAAAAAGGTTTTTCTACCCTATACATCTATCTCTTTCTAACTTGTTTCTCCTTTCCTCATATAGGACAGAATATTGGCAACCTAGCATAATTGCTGTGAAACTCCCAGTCACAGTCACCCCTTAAGAGACCCCAGAAGCTAGAAAAGATTGGGACAATCACTTTCTATTCTCTTATTTTCTATATCTTCTAGCTTTTAGAAAAAAAGGTTTTTCTACCCTATACATCTATCTCTTTCTAACTTGTTTCTCCTTTCCTCATATAGGACAGAATATTGGCAGGTATCTGTGAAGCCTCCAGCCTGGGCCTTTTCCTTTTCAAACACCAGAAACTAGAGAAGGTAGAAAAAAATCTATTTCCAGTTATTTTCTATCTTTTATAACCTAAAAAAACCTTTTTTTCCCCTCTGCATCTTTCTTTTGCAAATTTGTCTCTCTTTGCATATAGGACATGATATTGACAGGCATCAGCATCTCTGCATGTGCTGCCACTTTTTAAGTCAGCCCAGTGCTTTTAATCCTGCAGCCTGATAGTCTTTCTTGTTATTCCCCAGAAGCTTGAAAAGGTACAGAAAAATCTCTTTATATTCAGGTATTTTCTATCTTTTCTAGCTTTAAGAAAAAACCTGTTCTAACTTCCTTCTGTGCTTTCTCTTGCTAATTTGTTTCTCCTTCCCTCATATATGACAGAATATTTGAAGGCATCTCCATTTTTGCATGAGATGCTCTTTTCTTGGTCTAGCATCAATGCTGTGATGCCCAGTCTACCAGACCCCAGAAGCTATGAAAGGATAGTGTGGACAGAAGTCTGACTACTTTTTCTATTTTCCAAAAGAGACTGGGGAAGTCATACCTACAAACATTAACAGACCATTTATTTTCTATTGACAGGTTTCTTCCTACCTCCTGTTCCTGGTGTAGTATCTTTGAGATGTATATTTCAAATGATTACAGTGTATTCTTTTGCTTATTTCTTCCCAAGACATGGTACTTCCCTTTTCCTTAAGATGTAGATTAAGCCTTTTTTTTAAACTAATCTCTCCCCAAGACACAGATCTTCCTTTCCAATCACTGACCTAAGAATTTGTGGAACCCACCTATAACCTACAAGACCCCCCTCCCGCTTCTACATGTCCCTCCTTTTTGAGCCAGACTAATGGGAAATCTTTTAATTAAATGTTGTCTGTCAATCTCAAAAGCAAATAAAAGGAACCTCTGTACATGATCACCCCGAGAAAAGGCATGTATGCCTCTTCTCCGGCCTAGGTCACACAGTTGGCTTGGAAATAAACCACATTAATTATTAATTTTATGGTTGGTTATTTATTTTCTGTCGACAAGATGGCAATGACAAAGGGATCAGAGAGGAATTGAAGATCTTCCGAGGGGTGGTTTCGAACCCAGTTCCTGGTACCAGCACAGTGGGCCCTCTGAGCCCCCTCTGGCTCCAAGCTTCTCCTTGGGGGAGATTCGGTAAGTTCTCTGGCCCCAGACCTCCCAAAATTTGGTAGATGGTCTGGTTTATTTCTAAGCTGGTTTCTTGTTCGTCTATCTTGTATGTTTATCTGCTTTGGGTAACCCAGGTTTGCTCTTCTCTCAGTCAGGAGTAGCGGTCTTTGCTATCCTGCTAGTGAGGATCAGTGGTTTGCTCTCCTCTCAGTCAGGAGTGGTGGTCTTTGCTATCCTCCTAGTGAGGATTAGCAGTTTACTCTCCTTTGATGGGGGTGGTTACAAAAACCTAACATTTGAGGTTATATCCTAAAATGATTTTTGTACAATTTATTATTTTTATTTATCTAGTATGTGGAGAAACTGGACTGCCCCATAAAATAGACAAATGAGAGACTGAGACTCTCAGCTCTGAAGATAAAGGACATTTTGCTCCTCCCTTTTGGGTAAGCATCTCAGGGGACTGAGAGCCATATTTTAGGGAGTGTTTGGCAAGAGGGGTTGTTTCCTCCCCTGCAGGATGAGTAGCAGCCCTATAGGAAATCCCCAATACAGTAATTTAGACAGGCCCATCTAGTAAACATAAATTAAGAGCTGAACACTCAAGCGTTTTGGGCA